AAAATAATGTCAACTTTTAGTTTTGGTTAAAAATTCAGCTCAGTATTTGACTTACTGTTTTTAAACTAGTAAGTAGATGTATTCCAGATGGACTCGGAAGGAATGTGAAGATGTTATTCTGAGCAGACCCATGAAAAGTCTTATTATTTGATTCTGGGAATTATCTCTTAAAAGTGGGCCATCCTAATATTACCAGGGACAATCAATACTTAATGCATTCCCTAATATTTTTATCAGAATCTCTACTATAAACAAGCTCTGAAATGAGAATTATCTCTGGGTAACAGCATCTTTCTTTGTAAATGTACTTTGTACATCTTTGCAAACATACTAATAATCAGAAAGTCTCAGTACAAATTACACCTAGTTTCACCTTCACAAAAACTCACATGTGAATTGTGTTAGAACGTCAAAAGATGCTTTATAAACCTTAAATCTTCACTTGTACTAGTCGAGGTAAAGCTGAAGATAAAAATAGCTTTTTTTGTGCTAAAGCCCCAGGTTCTACAGCCCTAAAAATCTGAAATATTCCTCTTTCTTCTTGGGAAACTTCTAGAGTAGAACCCTTCACTATAACTGAATAGACTTACAGTTCCAGTAAAGTTGTAAATACACTTGTCGCGCACATTGTTTGGTTGTTTGTTTTCACATGGGGTTTAAAGAGGGTAAAATTACACTCTATTCTCATTTGGAAGTAGTAAACGTTTCTCCCACAGCACAGCCCCTGGTCACGGCTGAGTTCTTACAAAATTTAGGTTCTAAAATATACTTACGGTTCTACTTAAACCAGTGTACGAAAGCAAATGGATTAACAAACTTAGCAGTCATAGAAGTCACTGGTTCTTCAGTGTTCAAAGCCAGTGGCCAAGTTTATACTGAGCAGCTGTAAAACCGACTGTGTATGAAAGTCTAAACTGCACCTTACTGAGTAACCAACAGCTTGGAGAGCTCATGGTATGGTACGTGAAGGGTCTCACACACCTTCTGCGCATTCACAAACAACTTGTGGATGATCCTGCCGGCATGTCCGCAACCTGCACCGATGACTATCACTTCAGGCTGCTCCAAAAGGCAACTCACAAACCTAAGAGAAAAGTCAAGGGAGGCCAGAAAGTAAGATACTCAGTTCACACCGTATCAATCCCCACAGATAAGCCTTGTTCAGAAATCCCACCAAATCAACACTGGCTCAACCAACAGAGGCAGCAGTGAAAGTCTTACAACAGGATAGACCGACAGAATTACAATCAACTCACAGTCAGTTAGTTGCCTTTTCTTTTTCTTGTTTTTTATTCTTTTTCAAGTTGCCTTTTCAAAAAAAGTTTAAAACCCACTCTGTCTTTTCTACACTAGATGCTTAAGACATGCTACACTAAATAACATATCAATTTATGGGGGAGGGGATGACAGAAACCAAGCTTTA